CATTTTGTTTCAATTTTTGTTTCTTTTGAAACTCTGACTTGCTTACCTAGTTGGGCCTGTGCATTTTCATATATATTTATCAATTCTTAAAGCACATTTCATGTTAAGCTCTTGTCAACAAGGTTAATAATGTATATATATTTGCCATTCTTTCACTTTCTTTTAATAATTATTTTATTTGCCTATGTGCAAATTTTTAAAAATCAAATGTATTCATTTTACCAGATATATTTTACATTTCTTCAAGAATTATACATTTTATCTTCCTGTTTCATCTTGCTTCATCAAGTTATGCTTTTTTTTTTCTTTTATTATGCTTTGAGTGCAAGTTTACAGAGCAGAATTACTTTCACATTCAACAGTTTGTGTACATTTGGTTTCAATCCCCGATTACCAACCCCAACCCTAACCCACTCTCCTCCACTCCCTTCCCGGTGACCACCTTTCCTTCTTAACTATGCACTCCTGTCTGTCCAGATTTCCCTCCATGTGAATGCTGCCCCTCTGGTGCCCCATGGCTGATTGCTCCAAGGGGTATATCTACATAGAGTATGTGGTTGCATCGCCCTGGGTTGGGTGTTCTGTATGTAAGTCTTTCTACTGTTGGGCTGATAACCAATCCCTGGGAGTGAGTCCCATCCCAGGACTGAACTATATATATCCCAGGGCCATAGTCTTGGGGGTCCCACCAGACTCCATCTGACCAGTAATTCTGGTCATTATTGTGTTTTTGAATTTTGTTCCACATTTTACCTCCCACTTTATCCAGGATCTCCCGTTTTGATCCCTTTCCAATTGGTTGGCATTGGTAGCTGGGCACCATCTAGTTCTTCTGGTCTTGAGGTCCATCATATCCTTGGACTAATTATTTCTAAATGCCCTTGATTTTCTTCACTCTTCTTTGCTTCAGACAAGAGGAGACCATTAACTTCATCTTAGATAGGCATTCAAAAGCTTTTAAGACCCCAGTCGCTAATCACCAAAGTAGGTTGTGGAACAATATTTTTATGTGCCAATTGAGCCTGGTGTCCCCCAATACTATGATCATGAGTTGGCAGGCCCAGTGGTTCTCTCTCCTAAGATGTTTGGCTGTCTCTGAGGGTTACTCCAACTCTGTCTTCTGTTGCTTCTATAATGATGTGATTATTTTGTATCACTAGTATTTATGCAAGATTGTTGTTGTTGTTGTTATGTGCCATCAAATCGGCCC